ATAATTGACTTTGGCAGCTAGAGAGATTTTGAATTATCCTTTTTCACCACCTTGGGTCTCCTTTTCTGTCTCCATCCTCCCCGGGGGGCGAGGGGGGGGAGCGGTGAGGAAAGAACTGTTTGGGTTTTCCTAGCTCTTGTTTGGTATGGTAAGCCCTAAGATTCGTGTTTCATGAAGTTTATCAGAGGCATTTCGGGGTATGAGACCAAGGTACCCCTTGAGATCCTTAGGCAAATGGGAAGGAAAATATAAACCCACAGGTTGGGGAGCTGAGAGAGAGAGAAATAGAGGGGAGATGATTGTGACTACAACAGCTTCAAACTCTTGGTGGCAGACACAGAAATCAGAGAAGTTTGGGTGGGAGTTCTGCTTACTACCTGGGTTATAAATAATTGCTTCACATTTAATCTGTTTTCTCATCTATCAAATGATTGTATCAGTCAGGATGTGCAATGATAACAAATAATCCCCAGTTTTCAGTGGCCTAAACTATCAAAGCTTTATTTCTCATATCTTCCTAGGAGCTTTCTGGGCCTGGCAGGGGGCTTTGTGCTGTGCTGTCCCCACCCAGGCTCCTAAGCTGATAGGCCTCTACCATCTGGTATGTTGTTAGTAGCCATGGCCTGGAAAGGCAAGGTAATAAATCCTGCAGGAACCGTCAAAGGCTTTTAGGCAAAGTGGTGTGTATTCACTAGTGTCTCAGTGGCCTAAACCAGCCACCGTCCTCAGCTTCAGAGGGAGAAGTAGAACCCCACTGTGTGCGTGTATGCAGGCAAACCAGAGTCTTGGGGAAGGCCTCTCCTGGCTGTTGGTCACCCCACCAGTAAAGGTCCTGGTGGAACCCCACATACAGAAGAAAACACTAGAGGAAGATGAATGCTATTTGGGGAAACAATTGTTAATGGGTTTATGAAAAAATGGGTGTATCTTCTGTCATTTTTTAAATGTCTGTAATATAAAGTTTTAACTTGAGAACTGGAAGGTTTATGTAAATGTTGAGTAGTGATCCCAGAAGTAATACCCTCTTTGCCTGTTTGGGTGTCCTTAATACATTACCTTCCGAATGAGGCTCTTCTGGGGCACCTGCTCACAGGTGACTCTGCGACAGAGGTGTGGAGTTGAGTGTGGCCAGCCTATGTCCTTATGGAACAGAACACCTGAGATGTCACGCCCTCCCTGGTGAAAAATGCTCTCCAGGTCACAGAAACTGGGTAGTGAGAAGCAGTGAGCAGTGGTGGTACCAGAGCGTGGTAACAGAGTCAGACCCCCAGGAGGCCATTCCTGCCTGTGTGAGAGTCACCAGGGTGGGAGGGGCAGCAGCAGGGCCTGGAGGAACTTATCTGGCCTCAGTGCCACCCACTTTTTCACTTCTCCCACACTCAGGGCCTCGTGCCTGGGGGTGATGCTTGTGCTGTTTAACAAGTGGGTCCTGTCCGGTTCTCTGGCTCCTATAGGAGATGGCTAGTTTCCTTCCAGCTGCTGCCCTGGTGGGAGTTACTCTGCCGTGTCTCAGGTCAGAAACGCTCGGAGGATCTTCCCTGAGCTGTGAGATCAGTGCTACATCCTCTCCCTGGCTGGCACAGATGAGTGAAGAGTATCAATGAGCAGGTGTGGGTTTGTGCAGGTGAACCTCAGCCCTTCGTACAAGGGCCAAGGGTTTGTTGTGACAGTGGCTTTCCAGGATTCTCTGTCCATGGAGAGGTCTCCCAGGGTGCCGCTCTGCCATCCCTTCTTCCCACCCCACCCCACACTTCAGTCTATGCTTCTTGTTCTCCTGAAGAGAAGTCTGGGATTCTTTGTCCACCCGGGAGCGCTGACTGCAGGTCCCTTCAAAGTATGCGTCAGAATCACCTCCTCCCAGCCCAGCCTTATTTATGGAATACTATGTAACAAAACAAGGAATCACTCTGATATTCATAGAGGGAGTATTCTAGAGGCTGTCCACCATATGAAAAAGCATTAAAAAATACAGGGACATAAACCAAATAAAATCTTTGCCCTCTGCTAAGAGAATTTTTTCTCCAATATGTTCTTGTTGCTTCTCCCAAATGAACTCCTGATACAATTTGGGTCCTTTTTTCTCCTTTTAGCTACTAGTGCTCTTTCATCTAACTGAGTCAGCAGGCTTCCTATTACCTCTTTTTTTTTTTTTCTTTTTGAGACAGGGTCTCTGTCACCTTGGGTAGAGTGCCATGGAGTCACAACTCACAGCAACCTCAAACTCCTAGGCTCAAGAGATCGTCCTGTCTCAGCCTCCCAGGTAGTTGGGCCTACAGGCGCCCACCACAATGCCTGGCTAGTTTTTCTATTTTTAGTAGAGATGGGATCTCACTCTTGCTCTGGCTGATCTCGAACTTCTGAGCTCCAGGGATCTACCTCCCTCAGCCTCCTAGAGTGCTAGGATCACAGGGTGAGCCACTGTTCCTGGCCCTCCTGTACCTCTTGTTCATGCCCACGCCTTGCAGCCAGGCCTTGCAGTCTGAGGGAGAGGATGGTGCGGTAGCAGCCAGCCTGCTCTGTCTCCATCTGACCCCTCTACAGCCGGGGCAGCCACATAGGATCTTATGGTTTAGGCAGCTCTGATGGTCAAGGGGGATGCTGAAGGGTGGTCCTCTGGTGGCTACCAGCTGGTCGTGCGCCTTTTTTGTACTTACTTGCACGCTTTCATCATGAATTGGATTTTGTACTTTCTTGTCAGCCTAGGTGGCGGTAGTGCCTGCTGACCTGTAAAGATTGCACAGAAAGAAAAAGGCGTGGAAACTAGGAGGGAGCAAGAGCTCACCGTGGACAAGAGGAAGCATTTCCCACTCAATTATAGCCCAGAGAACTGACTGTGGGGAACCAAAAAGACAGCTAACAATGTGGCCAGGCAGGTGTCATGGCGTGGGAGAGATCTGGTCAGAGGCTGGCACCGCCCTGGGATCACCTTACGGTCCCCTGCTGGCCTCTGTGAGCGTGTCCACCACACAGGTGCGTGTTCACCCACCACCCTGAGGGCGGGGCAGAGCGTCTTAGCAGGAGCTCACAGATACTCCACTGTGGGCGTGTGCCAGGGAAGTACGAAGCTTTCTCATTTATGGACAGAAACTGTCTTGGAAATACTGTCATTTGTGGGCTTCTCTTGTTCCTTTTGAAGTGTGTCAGATGAAAAAGGTGTACACTCACGAAGACAGCACTGATGGCCTATTGCAGTGTGGCTGCTCGGGAAGACGGGTGCAGGCAGGGCTGCCACTCCTCCTCTGTCCCTGCCTTTATTCCCGCTTATGTTTTGCACACTTGACCTGGAGTGGAGGTCACTGGCTGTTTCAGGTTGTCACTGAGAGCAGTAGTTTACATCAGCATTTTTCAGAGAGTGACTGTCCCACTGAGGTCAGTGATACAGCTGTCAGCAACCTCATCACTTCTAGTCCTATTTCTGGAGCTCCGAGTGACCCCCAAGAAGTTATGCTGTACCAGGTGGTTAAGGTGTGGTCCCCTCTGTGACTTGTACAGTTGTACTGCTCAGACTTCTTGTGGTGGGGGGACCTCTGTCTGCAGGTTGAGCTGGGCTTACTGCAGTGTCCTGTTCATCTTTGAGAGCTCCGTCTCTGTTAGTCACTGGGCGGTGCTGATGTGGGAAAGGAGGACGTTGGAGGGAGTGGGTGAGAAGTCTCCCCAGGCCCTGCCTGCCACTGGGCCTGGAGGGGCAGACTGCAGAGCTGGAAAGTACATCTGGCTCCTGGTATTAAGGAAACTTACCGAAAATGAAATAAAATGAAAATTCCTCTGCTGACAGGAAATTAATTAAGACTGTAGTAGACAAGAGCTCAAGCCACACTGCCTGTCCCGTCACTGAGCAGTGTTTGCTGTTAGGTAAACGAGATTAAATGCACAGGAACAGGTGGGGGCTGAGGAGGTAGAGGGACGTCAAAGAGGTGAGCGAGTTCCTTAGAATTTAAACTCTGGCTATAAAAATGTTTTTGTAGGGGGCATCACCTGTGGCTCCAAGGGTGGTGGGTTTGAACCCGGCTCTGGCCAAACTGCAACAAAAAAATAGCCATGCATTGTGGTTGGCACCTGTAGTCTCAGCTTGAGGCAAGAGAATCGGCTAAGCGCAAGGGCTGGAGGTGGCTGTGAGCCATGACACCATGGCACTCTGCCAAAGAGCAACAAAGTAAGACTGTGTCTCTAACAAAAAAAAAAAAGTTTTTGTAACATCTGCTGCTTCTTCATCAAATGCTAAGCAAAGGAAGCTTGTCAGCCTCTGTTGTCATTTCCTCAAAGCTGTCTTCAGGGCAGCAGGAAGTGTCCTCATCTGTTCATTCCCCGGAGCTCCTAGATTCCCAGCCACATGCTGGTGCTAGGCTAGAGAATGGAACCCCCAGTCCCTGCCTTCCAAGAGCTTATATTCTGGGAGGAAAGGATAATGAAAGCACTAAATTTGCAGATAACCCAGCCAGGTAAGACATGGTGTCATACCATTTAGGATTATTTGGTCAAAAAGTAGCCAAAATAAACTCTGGCAAACTTCATCAAAAAAGATGTGAATTTGCAAAAGGGAAACTGAACAGCCATCAAGGAAGTGTGGAAGGAAGGTCGGGGATACAGGTAGCCAGAACTAAGTGACAGTCTCTTTGGGGCTGTTGGTGAGTCACTCCATGCAACCGGATGTCTGTTCACTCAAGATTCAGTTTCCCAGAAGAAGGTATCTGATGACTCCGGCTTGGGCCACTTGCCTGTTTCTTGGCGAGGGGAAAGCAGAGTGCTTGGTTAGTCCCCTAGAGAATGTGTACAGTGTGGAGGGACAGTTTCCCAAAGAGAGAAAGGGCACTAGAAAGGCAAAGACGCAGGTGTCCACCAGGGGCGTTGAAAACTTAGGCTGTTGTGTGTCTCCTGGGATTCCCAGCCACTGAGCAGGCGTGTTTTATTTGGGGCATACTCAGTGTTGATGTCATGATGGTTTGTGGCCATAAAACTTAGACTCACCCACCGGCACTTGCACCCCATTCTCTCATTCTCAGTGTGAGCAGTCCCACCTCATGAGAGAGCATGAGGACGTCCAGGAGCGAACCACACTTCGGTATGAGGAACGCATCACGGAGCTGCACGGTGTCATCGCTGAGCTCAACAAGAAGATAGACCGCCTGCAGGGTACCACCATCAGGTACATGTGCGCCAGGGCACCCTCTGCTCCGCTCTGCCCCTCTGTGCTGTGACCTTGGCCTTGGACATGAAGTAGCCCTATGAATCCTAATGATTTCTCTTTGTAACTAAGACTTCTACCATTTATAAGGTACTTTATCTTTGCTTTGCTAACCTTATACTTTCACCTCATTATTCTGTTCTGATTTTGATCCTTACACTCGCCCTGAAAGGTAAACAGACTGGGGGGTGTGATCCTAGTTTACTGATAAGGGTGTAGAATCAGAAGGTGGATGAAATGTTTTATTAACGAGTTCTGTGCTAGGGCCTGGCATCCCTATCACCCAACACCTTTTATCCACCCAACTGTTTGCTTCCCTTTGAGCTTTTGAGAGATTTATGAATGTGGCTTATAACTAAGCATTATACGGGCTTCTAGATAATCTCATTACATTATGAACTCACCTTAAGTTGCTTTACTGACACTGACTTATCCTCTTAACCAGACACCTAAAGCAGGGGGCAAGATCTGATCCATCATTTTACTGGTGAAAAAGCTACAGCTTAAAAATTTTGAGTGCCTTGCAATTACATTTAACAGAAGGTAGAGGTGGAGTCAGAGCCCAGAATATCTCTGTCTTTACTTAATTTTCTTTCTATGAAACTGGCGGGTAGGGATTTGCCACCTTTGCTTGTTAATCAGCTGGCAGTGAGTCTTCTATACCCGGTGCTGAGTGGGCTGTGCCTGCCCTGGTGAGCAGAGCCGGCATTTGCTATAAGTGACTTAATGGAGCCAAGGATGAGAACGTTTATCTTCCCGGCTGTGCTCAAGGGGAGAGCCTGAGGAATGCAAAGGGTGGGCACCTACCTTTTCGGAGAAGGAGAGCTTTGTTCACGGAGTGTTTATATGAGCCTCAATTAAAACAGACTTAGAGGCAGCTACTTAGAACTCTCCTTCCAGAAGTCAGAGGAAACTTGGGATGTATTCTGTTCCAACTCCGAAAGTCACAGTCATGACAGGGCTTCTCGACGAGGGTACTAATGGGAATGTGTTTTCTGGGAAAAAATTGTGGAAAAATTTGCCCTGAGCTGGGGCTGCACAATATACTTCATATTCTCATTTAGAACCTCAAGGCTTTTAAATTGTATCCTGGTCTTCAGAATGATTGCAGGTTAAAAATAAGTAGAGAAGAATTTTCAGCCTGAAGAAATAATTACAGCAGATTTAAAGGAGGCTGAGAAAGGACATTGGCAAATTTGTAATTTCCATTAAAACATGTTACACTTTTAAACACTTGAGAAGAGAAAGCAAATCAGCTCAGTGAGTTGTGGGGAAAAAATGCACCACATATCACCTAAAAAGCTCCATTTCAAGATGTTTCAATTGAGTGTAAGGACTGAACTGCTTCACTTTAAAATACAGTGAGCTTCTTGACCATAGACATTTAGTGATGTCTTTTATTTAAAGGAAGATTGCATCTGTGGAGATGTCACATTAAATTCTTCTCATTTTCATGTATGTAGATGAACTGGCCTCTCCTTGAGGGGACTCCCCACAAGGCGGGAAGGCACAAAGGCATGTGGACTAGTGATGCAAACCTCCTGTTGTCCTCTGAACTCCAGAAGTTAGAGAATGTGCTTTTCAAACAAACACGAAAGCTTCATTCTCAGCCCTCAGCCCTCCAGGGAATAGGTTTGGCCTTCAGATTAGGGTTTGCCAAAGAGCCAGAACCAATCAGATATCGATCTAGAGATAGAGATGTGAGAGGGGATTTACTAGAGGAATTGATGCACGTGTTGGAGGAGGCTGAGAGGTCCCGTGGCAGGCTGTCTGCAAGCTGGAGACCCTGGGATGCCATAGTGCAGCTCAGTCCGAGTACACAGGCCTTCCTCAGAGTCAGGGAAACCCTGGTGTAACTCTGGGTCTGAGGCCAGAGGCCTGAGAACCTGAAGGTATCAGGTGCCAGTTCTGGAGTCTAAAAGCTAGAGAGCCTGGAGTGCTGCCACAGGAGAGCAAGGGAAGAGCACCCCCCTTCTGAGAGAGAGAGAGAAAGAGTGCTTCCTTTTCTCTTCTCTCCCAGATCCCCTGATGACTGGATAGTGACCACCCTCACTGAAAGTAGATCCCCACTCAGTCCACCAACACACTCAGTCTCCTCTGGAAACACCCAGACTTACCTGCAAACAGTGCTCTGCCAGTTCTGCAGGGATTTCTTAACTCAGTAAAGTTGACACCTAAAATTAATGATCCCAGTCTCAGCTCCTAATATGCTGTGATAGGCCCAGTAGGAACCAGGCACCCTGGATGGCCACTAACTGCCCTAGAATACCCAGGGTCTGGAGAACTGATTGTCATGCTGGTCACGTAAAATACTCATACCATATAGATTTTTTTTGTCACTTTAGTCTGGTCTGAGTTAAGAATTTATTGGAGAAAGTAAAAAGATCATTAATAAGGGAGTAGTTTATGTAAGCTATGGTATTCCCACACTTAGGAATTGCTAAGGAAAGAAAACAACAGTCTCATCATTTTAAAATTTTTATCTCAAGTCACAATCAAAGAACCAGTTACCTTCTGTGACTATCCTGGACTCTCCTGTCTCTTACATCCACAGGCTAATATGCCCAAGAATCACACACTGCAGGTGGCTGAATCCCAGTGTAAGTTGAATTCATAGCTACATCAGCACTCTTAAGTGAAGAGTTGAGTACTGGTAGGAAAAGATGAAATGGTGAGGATTTAAATGGGAACATTTGGGTAGATTCAAAAGAACTCAAATACCTAGGGCCTATATATTCCCTTCCCATGTGATAAAACTCATCCTACCTTGATTGGGGACTCTGTGATGAACTCATTCCAGGTAAGAAGTGGCAGATAAATTCATGTCCCATTCCTACTTAATTCATCATTGTCTTTAACCCCAAAAATAGTCGGATTTCATCATATCCCAAGGAGACAAATAGAAAATCTAACCTGGAAAAATATACCTTAAACACCAAAAGATTTGTAAAGGTCTATTATTTATATTCCTAGAAACTTGGGAAATGCGTGTGGGATTAGGATCTCAGGGTTCTAGACCAGGCAGGGAGAGATACAGTGTTGGATTGATGGTGATTTTATTGATCTGACTGTTCCTACCAAAGATTCTGGATTCATTGTCAGCCCCAGCAATTAGATTAACTAAAAGTATCCTCAACAGAGTACTCTACATTAGATGATGTTGAAACTCCAGGAGTTCAGACGCCTGAGGAGTTGGAAATTTGGAGGGGGGATGATATCATTAAAACATGGTCTTTGGTGCCACTGACCTACAGGAGTCACAGTGGGCTTGGTTACTGTGTTGATCAATAGCGCCACAGTAGTATTCAAAATGTTTGACTTGTAGGGATCTTTGCTAGTGGCTGTATGATCATGGAGTCTCTAGAATTGATATAAACGAGAGCCTGCTAAAGATTTATTTATCTTTATATAGAAAAAAAGAAGAAAAAACTCTGGCCTGATGAACAGAGACTTGAATTGTCATCACAGTGGAGAGTCATGGCCTCTTATCCAATTCTCTTACCTGACTCAGTTCACAGAGCCAGAGCCCATGGATGAGGGGGAGGATGTATACAGCCCTGCCCTTGCTTTCACGGCTTCCAAAGAGAACCGCAACTGACCTACAGCTACTTAGATGGGAGACTGTGCAGTGGAGTAAAGACAGAGATGATGCTCTGGGTGATAACTGGACACTGGCTCTGAGCTGATGATAGTCCCTAGGGATCCAAGGGACTACAAGTCAAAGGAGGACTTCTGGGGGTGTGTCAGTCAACGTGGGCTGCCGTGACAAATACTGTAGACTGAGTGGCTTAATCCATAGGAATTTATCTTTCACAGTCGGTCCTGAAGGTTAGGACGCCCAAGATCAAGACACGAGCTAATTCAGTTCTGCACTGAGACCTCTCTTTCTGGCTGTCTTCTTGCTGTATTTTCGTAGCCTCACATAAAGGGAGGAGAGAAAGAGGAAGCAAGCTCTCTGATTCATCCTCTCCTGAGAGCAGTATCCCACAGGCTCATCTAACCCCGATTGTATCCAAAGGCCCCATCTCTAAATACCATCACACTGGGGGGTAGGGCTACAACGTAAGAATTTTAGTGGGACACAATTTAGTCCATAACAAAAAGTCAGGTGGCAAGTGGCATCAGGGCCTGAATCCACACCATAGCAGGCCCAGCTATGGCACCATCAGAGAGATGACCTTTTGCAATGCCTTGGTGATGTGTTGCTGCTGCTTTTTTGGATCCAGGAACCGAAAGGGGAAGTGGATCTTTTCATTCATACACCTTAAAAACCCACTTCAAGAAAGTATGTGTCTATTACCCTGATACCAAAATCAAACAAGGGTACAGCAAAAAAACAAAACAAAACAAACAATAGGTCAATATCCCTGATGAACACAGACACAAAAATCTTCAACAAAATACTAGCAAACTAAATTCAACAACACATTAAAAAGACTGATACATGATGAAGTAGAGTTAATCCCAGGGATTCAAGGATGGTTCAATATATGCAAATGAGCAAATGTGATACATCACATTAACAGAACCAAAAACACAAACCACATGCTCATTTCAATAGGTGCTAAAAAAAAAAGCATTGCATAAAATTCAACATCCCTTTATAATTAAAACACTCAACAAACTGACCTCAAAACAAAAAGGCCATATATGACAAACCTACCAACGTCATTTGGAACAGGGAAAAATTGAAAGCCTTTCCTGTAAGATCTAGAACAAGACAAAGATGCCCACTTTCACTGCCATTGCTCAACATAATACTGAATGTCCTCTCCAAAAAAATAAAGAGCACCTAAATCAGAAAGGAAGAAGTTAAGTTATCCTCATTCGCAGACACAGTCCTATAGTTAAAAAATCTTAGACTCCACTAGACTGTGAGAACTGATAAATGAATTCAGTAAAGTTGCAGGATACAAAATCAACACACAAAAATCAGTAGCATTTATTTCAACCTGATTTAC